GTAACTACTGAAGATTATTCACTCAAAATTGATATTTACAATAATCTTTGGACGAAAAATAAGAATATTATANCTCGAGCAAAAATTGAGATATCTCAACGAAATTTGGTATGTAGGTTTCCGTTAATCCAAGGTAGGTTGGTATTGAAAATGGGCGAAATCGGACTGTAACCACGACCACTTTCCATATAACGGTAATTTTCAGAAACACGAAAACTGTGATATTTTAGTAACTACTGAAGATTATTCACTCAAAATTGATATTTACAATAATCTTTGGACGAAAAATAAGAATATTATAAAATTTTTGGAAAATGGGGGTAGCCACGCCCACTTATGGTTATATGTGTATAGCTTGGTAACCGCTGCACCAATTTCTTCCAAACTTGACACAGTTGTTCGCCTTTGTACAGCATACCAAATAGCCGAAAATTTAAAAATCGGACGATAACCACGCCCTCATCCCATATAACGGTAATTTAGATAAATACAAAATCTTCGATAAATGAGTAAATATTAAAGCTAATTTATTCAAAAATGATGCTTGCAACAATTCTTTACCAGGAAATACGTTTAGGATAAAATTTTGGGAAATGGGCGTGGCACCGCCCACTTATGATCACATATATGTATCTCGGTAACCGTTCTACCAATTTGTACCAAACTCGGTATGGTTATTGTGCTTGCCACATGAAACCAAAACATTGAAAATTATTGAAATCGGACTAAAATTACGGCGGCTTTTCATATAACTGTAAATTTGACAAATGCTTGAAACCTCAATATTTCGAAATTTAAGGACGCTAATTTACTCAAAATTGATACACCCCGGCTTACAATGTAGCGGTAGCTTTCGGAAAGGTGAAAAACATCTATTTAATACTTGCACTTTTTTCTAATAGCGGTCGCTCTTCGGTAAGCAATGGCAAACCTCCCGGTCAAGGTGCAGGGGTGGTGGTTTTAAGAGTTGTGGTCGAAAGTTCAAACCTTAATTTAAGGTGACGTGCAATAATGTCAATGGAACTAATGTTAATGACATTAATATACAGGCCAAAAGTAAAATAATGGCAATGACATTAATGCACATGCCGAAAGTGAA